GGAGAGCAACTTATATTTTTGAATCTGTATCCACATTTTGTAATGGTTACCTGAGTAATATTTACCTTACAGAGTTGTTGGAAAGAATAGATAATTGCATGAAAAATGCCTGGCTGACAGGCTCTATAGGGCTACAGTGATTTCCATTGATAATGAAATAATTACCTGAGATTATATTTCTAAATCAGGCCAAAATGAGGCATATAGTTTAGAAAATACTCAAGCAATTTCTTCAAAGAATTAGCCTCTGTTAAGAGCCCAGTTGTAAAGGAAATCGTACTGAATCATAGAGGAAATTAGTCCTGAATAACCATTGGAAGGACTGATGCTGAAGCTGAAGCTCCAATACTTTGGCCACCTGATGCGAAAAACTGACTCACTGGAAAAGACCCTGATGCTGGGAAAGATTAAAGGCAGGAGGAGAAGGGGAAGACAGAGGATGAGATGGTTGGATGTCCATCCACTGACTCGATGGACATGAGTTTGAGCAAACTCCGGGTGTTGGTGATGGACAGGGAGGCCTGGCATGCTGCAGTCCGTGCAGTTGCAAAGAGTCGGACACAACTGAGTAACTGAACTGAAGAGCCCAGTGGAAATTCAAAAATGTGAAGTTAAGGTTGAGGCCAGTGACATATTTTGATATCTTTGGGGGGATATTTTTAAAAAATTGTCCACAATTGTCACATATCTACCACTTCTAATTTTTTTATTTTTCATCCATAACTCTAGAGACTAAAATTTTACTTGTCATCAGCCAACTTATAGCCAACATCCCATAGAACGGGAGAGTAAAAACAAGTAGTTTTTGCATCACATGCAGTTTCAGAGAAAGTGAAATAACTGTCCTGTCAATTTTCCAGTGTTGTATTGTACTTCCGGAGTCAGTCTGTGTCTTCAATCCTTGCACAGAGCTCCCGGAGTTTGAAATCTATTGGGATGTGAAGAAGAGAGCCATAGCACATGGCTGCACAGGTTGTGGACTGCACAACTCCCGAGGGTGCCCATCTCACTATGATGAGAAATGGACCCCTACTGTACAGTATGCCCTATGCAACCATATGCAGCAGCCCTATCTGAGAGGCTTGAGAATTTTCCTGATGAACGTACTCTACCATTAGTGAGCATTTACAGTGCATGAGGGGGCTTCCCTTGTGGCTCAGCTGGTAAAGAATCCACTGGCAATGTGGGAGACCTGGGTTCGATCCCGGGGTTGGGAAGATCCCATGGAGAAGGGAAAGGCTACCCGTTCCAGTATCCTGGTCTGGAGAATTCCATGGACTTTATAGTCCATGGGGTTGCAAAGAGTCGGACATGACTGAGAGACTTTCACTTCACTTTCACAGGGTATGAGACACTGTTCTAGGCTCCAGGGATACAAGGGTGTTCTGGAATGTTCTGGCCTTCTATAAAAGATTTAAGCAGTTCCATTGTTCACAGTAACACTGTAACTTTAAAAAATCACAAATGCTTGCATGTCCAGTGGCTCCACATAAAACACAGCGTGGTAACAGTCATGAATAAATTACAAATGTCACTGTGAGAACTCTGTACGTTTTACAAAATCTCTGTTATAATAGCATCTATATACGTACACCTCTCTTGACAAAGACCTCAGCAAATCTCTTTTCCAAACACCCACAAATTTGTTTCGGATGTATTTATGGAAGTTTGGTCACATATACAAATTTAACTCACAACAAAACCAAAAAAGGAGTGTCTAAGGCCCACAAATTAACTTGTACCTATATAAGCCAACACAGATTCTTTTTTTCCTACTTTTATGAATAAAAGTACCCTACAGTGTTTGCAGAAGATATCTTGCAATAAACAACAACAACAACAAAAATGATGTCTGCCTCAAACTTGATTTCTTTTAACCTCATGACTAATTTGCAACACTGAGGTATTATTACAATAGATTAAGAGTTTGGACACATTAAGAACTAGATGCTTTAAGAGTTGGCCACGTTTTGCTTGTAAAGCCAGGCATTAAACTCAAGGTCCATACTATATGATACTTTATTAGGAAGGGAAAGACACTAATATCACTAGTCCTTACCATATCCGGCTTGTGCTGGGCAACAGGTATATTTTAGGCCAGTTGGTCTTTGCAGTAGCCTGATGAAGTAGGAATTATCGTAGCAATTTAAAATAGGATGAGACTGAAGTCAAGGAGGTAAAATAACTTGTCTCAAATGATATAGTTAGCCCGTGTCCCTTCCAGGGTTTCTTCAAGTCCTGGCCTGTCTTGACTTCAAAACTCTGCCCTTCTTTCTACCCTAGGCTGGTTCTACTGCTGCAGAGTTACCCTTTTTAATACATGAAATAAAATTAAATTAGCTTCATTATGATCACCATCATCATCTGTCATTTTAGCCTGTATTTTTGAGCGTCTCTTTTATTTACCCGTTCCTGTTGTAGGGACTTGTACTCCTTACAGCCGCCTTTCAAGGTGAACAGGCCAGCATGGTGCTGGGCACTGTAAATTCTTCAGCCAATGTCCCTGGTGAATTTTCTCATTTTACTGATGAGACAACAAAGCTAAGAAGTGATAGATGACCCATCGAAGGCTGAGAAGAGGTTGAGCAGGTAGACTCGGGTCCGTCTTACTCTTGTGCCTGTGGGGTCTTTCCACATTGTTTACAGTTGGACAATGTCACAAATCTATAACACTGCACTCAAATTAAATAAACTAAAAATTTACAATTCTGAAAGGAAACTAATAACTTGAGGCAATATACAACTCTGCTTCCACACTTGGAAATGGTTTTACTAGACACTTCTGAAAATGATCTTCAAAGTTTCTTTCTGAATAGTATTCAACGTTCTCATGGCTTGGTTTACATTTTTATTCTAAACATAACTGTTCTCGATTCTTTCTCATGGGTGGGAATTCTCAAACAATTGTGATCTTGGGGAATCTCCAGTAAGATATTGATGTATAAGAATCTGGGAGTTGTGCTGTTGATAGTCAAAAAAATACTGAGCCTTAATAGGTCAGGGATACTTCCCTAACTAGTTAAAAGAATTAAAAGTTTTAAGAGATTACTAAAACCTCAGTTTAATAGTAAATATCCAACCAAAAAAGGGTTGGCTTAATAAAACAAAGGACTTGGGGATGACCTGGAAAATGAATTTCTCATTTCTGACCTGATTCCATATCTTAAAGTTCTTACATTCTAGTTTTTAATCTATACTGCTTTTTACAGAGAATGCTGTCATTTGTGATAATCACAGAAGTGAATACATATTTTACTTACTTTTTTGACTACAAGCAAAATACATACTAATATAAAAATGTGCTCATGCTGTTACAGTCTATATGAGTTGTGATTTATCGCCCATCTATTCAATTCTATGTAGACAAAATGAGTTATAATTTTAAAGTCTAAACTAATAAGCTCTGAGAGATAAAAAAGGAAGAAAAGAGGGATAAACTGCATATCTAATTTTTTCAAATTTCAATTTTATTCTATTGAGCTATAAATTCTGCTTTTAGTATAGACAAGTTTTCCCATTAAAATATGATTTGAAGTCTTATATTTCAATTTTCATCTGTAAGTCAAACAAGACATCGTTTCTTTTTTTGCTTTAAGAAGAAATTTTCTCAAGAAACATACCCAGTCCCTTCAATACCCCAAAATAGGCTAAGGTCACTATTTCGTAAACTCATAGCACTATGATTTCCCAAATTATGTATCAAGAGCATGGATCAACTTTTTTTTTCTTTATTGTTTGGAAAGCTTATTTATATGAAGTTCTTCAGAGATGCAAAATTTAAGCTCTATTTTATTTTTAGCTATGTATCTTACCTATATCATTGAAAACAATATCACGATTATGTTAGCACTATCCTAGACCGTCAGGGATTGATAGGATCCATAATTTTAGGGAAAAAAATCCACCTCAAAGAATTACAGGTTAAGTCATCCCCATTTTCTTCAATGAGATCTTTCACTATAATTCTCCCATTTCTTCAAGTCTAATCTCCACCCAACTTGGTATACAACTCAGGTGCCACAGCCTCCAAAAATATTTCTCAAACAATCAGGTGGAAGCCAGCTGTCCCTTCCAGGAATCTGCTATCTATCACACAAGTCTGCTTTCCATCCTTCTCTTGGGGCACACGGCCTTTCTATCTTGGGCTTCCCTGGTGGCTCAGATGTTAAAGAATCCGCCTACAATGCGGGAGACCTGGGTTCAATCCCTGGGTTGGGGAGATCCCCTGGAGAAGGGCATGGCAACCCACTCCAGTATTCTTGCCTGGAGAATCCCTTGGACAAAGGTGCCTGGCGGGCTACAGTCCGCGGGGTCACAAAGAGTTGGACACGACTGAGTGACTAAGCACATACCCTTTCTGTCTTGCATTATAGCCACTTGTTATATTTTCCCTACCAGACAGTGGGCTCAAGGATACCAACTTGAAGCACATTCATTTCTTCTCTGATGTGCTATGTGTTAACCTACACATGGTAGGTTCTCAAGGAGTACTGAGTATGTATTTAATAATTCCTGTTAGCCATGGCAAATTTTCAAAGAGAGTGAAAAACCTCTTAAGAAGTATTTTAGGAAGCCCTTGGTCAAGAAAGAAAGCCACAAGAGTAGAAATTCTTCAAGAGGTGAATCAGAGTAACTGGCACACAAAAGTGACACATTCAATTTCTTCACCTTTATATAACCTCCAGAAGATCAAACATTAATAAAATATTTATCTTCAGTTGTCACAAGCCAGACTTTGATTTAAAACTCTTGAGTACATGAATGTCATGCCAGACCAAAAATACACCATCATGTATTTTTAATTTAAACATGGACCTGTAAAAAATTTATATATGCCTGACATGAAAAAAATCTGAGTGCAAATCTCCCAATAATCACCACAAATAAGAAAAACAGGATTGAAAATCGATTGTTAGACTTCGGTAGAAGTACAATGAAAAGCGTTCCTTTTGACAGTCCAATGTGGCATTGATGTGACTACCTAAAACGCATTCTCTTACCTTTAGGGAATCAAAGCAGGCAATTACTCTTCCATTTTCAACCTGGCAGCTTTTGGGGGGGTGGGCGAATTTGCATTCCTCATCAGAGCGGGAGCAGGTTCCTCTCTGGAACTGTCTGCAGACCTCTAACGTCAGCCATTTTGTATCTCTGACCGGGGCAACATTCAAAGCCATGATGAGGAAATAACTGGGATCCTGTTCCTCCCTGTTAAATGACGAAATCAATCCAAGTCCCAATGACTCCAAAACTATTGTTGTGAAAAATTCCACATGTAAGTCTGAAGGTGAGTGATAAATTGCTTAATGAAGTCCAATCCAGGAAACAGAGTGCAGAGAGAATTTATCGGCAGGCAGTCACTCATCAATCAATATGCCCCACTCGAAGACTTCGGGCCGCAATAAAAGCGTGCTCACTGTCATCTCTGACTGCAAACGTCCGAGTCTCCTGATCGTTTCGCAGACAAAACTGTTTTTAATAAAGTGACCTCAATACCATGGCACTCCTTGGGAGAATATTTAGTCCTGACACTCACAGCTATTGACGATGCTGGAAAATAAGCCACTGAGATGTTCAGATCTTAGCAGGATTTCTTTTTCCTTCCACCGTTTAAAATTCTGAAATCAAGCAATTGGCAAAGTCAGACAGTTGAGGTATCTTCATCCACTCGTAAGGTCAGGGTAATGTATATTTGACAGAAAAACAAGATTTGAACAAAAAGCTCCCGAACTTGGTTTCCAGCAAAAGTGACTTCACACAGGCACTTTTAAATCTTGAAGCTGCAAAACATAAATAAGTGGTGAATCAACTATCCTATACTATAAAACATTTCTCAATTAAAAAATAAAATCAACTTACACCCCAACTCAATGGACTCAACACTTGAACAAACTATTTAGCTCTTATCTCGAATTTGCAAAAGTGCAGTTTAGAGCTTTGAGCTTTGAATATAGCAAGAGAAGTTATGCATTAAGAGAGAGAGAGAGAGAATACGAAACTGCAACCGTATTGCAGAAATGATCCAGGCAGCAGTCCAAAAGTTAGGGATGACTCAAACAGATGAGTGTGGCAGACACAATAATTAGACATTCTGAGACAATTCAATCTAATGTGCTTAATCGCCAAAACAGTGTATTAGAACCGTGGCTTCCAATTAATTTCACATTTAGGCCATTGATTTTATTGTTGAAAATGCTATAAACAATTATTTGGGATGTGTCTCTTCTATATAATAAGGATATTGTCATTCTGGATGAAGTGTGCACTCCTCACCCTATACATCCTTTCTAGTTTACAGAGGTTTGAGCTTAGAGAGGGATAGGTAGACCCCTCCTGATATTATTCTCAGATCTCTCATACTTTCCCTCTACTTTTAATACTTGGTTGATGGTAATGTTGCTTTCTTCCCTGATCGTGTTTTTCATTTCCGTTTCCCTAGTGCCTTAGATCAGGGCTATTAGGTCCTCAAAAAATATTTATCGAGCAATTTAGCTGACGACTGACTCACTGACTAAGTGAATGAATGCAAGTTTATTTTACTTTAGTGCAGTTTAGTTTTTAGCAGAGTCACAACTTAAAAATGTTTGGTTCTGCAGAATGCTGGAGTTGAATCACAGACATACAATAAAAATATGACTGGTCAGTTCAGATTTCTAAAATCAACCCATTTAGTTTCTTTTAATATCTCTAAGGATTATGAAATTATAAAAACATTAAAAAAATTTAATATTGAGTGCAGCATGAATGAAAGACTAAATAACAGAAGTTGGTCATTTTCATATATTGAATATGCCACAGGCTACCTTACTTATTTCCTTAGTCTTGATGTCCTTTTAAAAAATGTATAACTAAAAACTTAATGGAGGCTGGAAGTAGATTATACACCAAATAAGTTCAGAGAGCAATAATCCTTGAGTGGTTCACAAGTGTTCCCTGAAAAAGTAGGTCTGACCGTCAATTAGGTTTAGTTAACTCCAGGTAAACCAAGCTGAACAAGGCTTACCTGCAATAGGGCTTTTTTCAGCCCTGAATGAGTCTCTGATGGGGGGAGGGCCTGCAATGGCATCTGCCAAGCTTATCTGATTGTGGATCGTTTATTAATATTTAGTGGGATATCTCCTGGGACGGGGGGGGGGGGAATGCTTCTTCATCACAATCCTTCTCTTACTTGTCAGCAGAAGTGTTTGAATGAGATATAACTGTATGTGCATTGAAGGACATCGGCAAGCTGGGAAGCTGTGACACATACCTAACTTCCAATTGTGAAATATTTGAGGGGCCTGACAGGCTCCTGCTTGTCTATTTGGCAGCATCGCGTTCCCAGAAGCTAACATTCAACCATCTTAACTTCAGGAGTTTAAGAAAATGAGTTTAATAACCAAGCTGACTCTAGGTCAGGTTTCACCGACCAGCCTGGACCTGCACTCTTAACTCAACCCCCACCTCTAACCCCCATGAGAACAAAGGACGAGTGAAGTGAGGGACAAGGAAACATTTCTGCAGGTGTGTTCAGTGGAGCTGAGGCACCAATAATGTTGGAGACACAGTGAGGGTCTGGATAGATGGGAGTTTATACTTGCAAAATATTTTACAGCGTCCCTGAGTCCTAAGGACCTGGGTTTACTGGGGTCACAGAACAACAAAGATGCAGGAGATAGATTCTCTTCCTCAAAGCCATACAGTCTTGGCCAATCCTTCACATGTAGGAAAAGAAACAGGCAAATATGTATCCAAGCACCAATGAATAATTACTCAAGTATTCCTGAAAACCACACCGGAACAACGCTCTTAATCCAGTCCAGTGAATGGGGTACACTTTTGCTACTTTTAGATAAGAAGGCAGTTCCCTGCTCCCACCCCCCACCCTGGGAGAACCAGAGTGCCATTCCTTCTACTGTGAAAATCCAATCAGAATTTAGACCATCAGACTCTATCAAGATGAACTTGCTTTTAAAAACAGAGGAGCCAAGTTTCTGATGGCCAGTCCAGTGTAAGTCAAAGATGTACCAGAAAGTGCATCAGATTGCAACTAAATATACTGCTATCCTAACTGTTGGTGAATCCACTCTTTCTCCCAGCTTGTTCTGTTTCAATCCTAAAAGTTCCGCAACTACTATTATCAAAGACACTGCCTCCCTCGGGCCATCGCAACCTCCCTCTTCAGGAATGGGTACAGCTAGCAGCTCTGGGAAATGAGGGACTGAGAGCAGATTTAAATCAGGTCAGGGGAGCCCACTGAAGAAGATGGGCAATGATGGGAGAGGATGATACATGGTGGCCAAGGGGCAAGACTAAACTATACAAACACACAGAACAAATTACATCCCGAGTGTACCAGACTGGAGGCTCCAGCGAGGCAGGGTTACTTGTTAGGGCTTCACTCTTCAATACAGAAGCCACTAGCTACAGATGGTTATGGAACACTTGAGATGTGGCTAGTGCCACTGAGGAACTAAATTTAAATTTTTTATTTCTTCTTAATGTAAGTTTAACTTAAAAACTGATCCTCAGTAATACTTATTAGAAAACTTTTCAGTATGCTCGGACCAACTATGAATCTACTTTTCAGTTGTAAATCTCACAGAATCTAAATACAGATCAAGTATTAATCTTTCCAATAAAAATCCAGCATCCTAATTGAGATGTGCTCTAAGTATAAAATTGCCCATGGGATTTCTCAGGCAAGAATATTGGAGAGGGCTGCCATTTCTTCCTCCAGGGGATTTTCCCCACCCAGGGATTGAATCTGGAGCTCCTGCATTGCAGGCAGATTCTTTACCACTGAGCCACCTGGAAAGCTCAGGTATAAAATACACACCAATTTCAAGCACTTTTAGTATAAAAAAAAAAGAACATGAAAAATCTCAATATTGTATCATATTTACTACATGGTAAATTGATAATATTATTAACAAATTAGGTTAAATATTATTATTAAAATTAAACTCACTTGCTTCCTTTCAACTTCTCTCCAAAAAAATTCAGAATTACATATGTAGTTTGCATTATAGTTCTACTGATGTTGTAAGGGTTTTTTCATTTCTTCTATTAGCCAGAGAACTTTCTGGAATGGTGAAAATACCCTGCCCTAAGAGCCAGCTTCTAGTCCTTATATTGCCAAGGCTCCTTCGTCTGACCTTGGGTAATCAATTTTCTGTGATCCAGTTTCTTCCTCTGTAAAATGTTGGTAGTCCCTACTTACTTTACATGGTTGCTGTCATGAAGGACTGATTACAAAAGAAACATAGAGACACTTGGTGAACAGTAAAGTGCTGACCCAACGCAAGGTGATGAAAGGGGAAGCTGCTCTATCAATATTTATTGAAGAAAGCCACTCCCAAGCTTCCTCTCTGCAGTGGTTCTCTATCAATGACCCGGGTCCTGCCTGGGGTGGATCTGCTCCAGGCGTAGCTTCTGAGAGCAAGGCGGTGCCGCGGAGATCACAGAACTGCCTGCAGGGGGCGCGCGCCCGGGGCCGCGTACCTAGAGCGCCCCTCGTTTCTCAGGTCGCCTTCAGTCTGCAGCCGAAGCGAATCCCCAGAGACGGTTCCCCCAAGCACAGATCCCACGGCGCCACTACAAAGGCCTGAGCCTGCCGTCTTCCTCCAGCTGCTGCTAACCCAGAACTGAAGGAGACACTTTCAGGGCCCAGCAGTCACCCTGGGTGTGACGAGGGCCCCCCACCCCACCGCCGGGGTCGCAGTGACGGGAAGCTAGGTGGCCTGAGGGCTTGGTGAGAGCACAGCTTCGGACTGAGCTCCCAGCGCCCTGGGCGAGGGGAAAGTTGGGGGGAGTGGCATCTTCCAGTTCATCTGCCCAGAGGGGCCCCTGTTAAAATGTGTCTGTGGAGAAGCTGCGCATGTGTGCTGGGTCACTTCAGTTCTGTCTCTTTGTGACCCCATGGACTGTAGCCCGCCAGGCCCCTCTGTCCATGGGATTCTCCAGGCAAGAACATGGAGTGGGCTGCCATGCCCTTCTCCAGGGGATCTTCCTGACCCAGGGATCAGACCCAGGGCTCCTGCATTACCATCTGAGACAACAGATTACTATTTTCAAATCCCCAGAGTTCAGTTCCGTGCCTGATATATAGAACACGCTCAACAAATCATTGTCAGATAAACTCCTGGTCCTCCTCCTGGTCCATTTGCACTTTAATATGGACCAAAGTTGGGCTCCC